CTTTGGAGACACACACACACACACACACACACACACACAGACACAGGATTAACCCTTCTGTGTCCATTTCCATGGATGATTCTTTTCCTCGCTCCGGTTGTGACAGCATTGACTGCTTGTGTTGCCATGGCTACAGGGGCCAGAGAATGTAAGATAGGCAAATCCACATAAGTCACCCCACAACAGACACTCTGAGCTACTACTGACTACACCTCCCCCTGGTACTAGACACACAAAGATGCAGCCAAAAGACTGACAGGGGCCTCGTGAGCTGTGAAGTGCTCATGTCACAGGCTTACCATGGTCAAACCAATATACATAAACTCAGCCCAAACATCGACTTTGTCGCTGGTCGTGTGAGAGACAGGCCTCAGAGCAGCTTATCCTCTCTACAAGTCTGGCTCCAGGCGACACTGCACTTCAACATACTCAAGATTTCTCCCAACATGGGAGTCTGCAAAGAGGTCCACATTCGAGTTTGTCGTCTTCATGTTGCAATTGTTGGGGTGTTAGGAGTTATGTTCAAAGACTGCTCATCCAGGCAGAGGAGATCTGAACTGAGCGACCGCTTCAGTTATGAGAAAAGTACAGTTAAACAGACACAGGTGGAAAAATAAACATACAATGAAAGATAATTTTCATTGTCGAGAAAACGTCAGAATATTGGAGACGATGGAGAAACGGTTCGATTACGAGGGTCACAATTAAACAGAGAGGAGTTTGTCACTCTGGTGCATGTAGGAGTGACATAATATGGATGGAAGGGATGGACTAAATTATCAAATTAATTAAAGTTTCTGCTTTAATTATGTATTTATTAGATTTTGTATCTTGATTTTGTTAATACATTTACAATATTGGTATATTCCTTTAAAAAACTTGACATTTACATTTCAGTATGAGTTTTTCTTAGCTTTCCCCCCCATTCTTAAAAGCAGAATAAATATATAAATATTGTATACAATGTAAAGCAAGCGGAAATTAAAAATGCACTTTTGCAATAAAGTATATGAAATTCCAATATATCTTTACAATATCCAAATTTGTCAGCTGCAACATTTTGTGGTGCTGATCCTTGAAATGCACCCTGGAGCTTAAAATAAATAATAATAAAATTAATCTGACCACTGCTCTTCTAAAAAGTTGTTCCAGGTCATGAGTCTCCACACAACGAGTATAAGAATCAACATTAGACTTACATATTTATATACACCCCCTATCTATGGACCACATTATTTAAAAAACTCCTTTCAAAAATACTTGACCAACTTACTTGAACCAAAATAATGTTCTAATTCTAATTATGTTATAATGATAATAATAATGTTACCTGTACCTGTGTTCAGATGTACAGCAGCTTCTATGAAAGCCGCTGAAAGTTTCCACAGAGCGGCTCCCAAGAGCAGCTTAATTTGTAAATAAATCATTTATGAAACATTGTGTTTTCACTCCCTGTGTACATGAGCAGTGAATAAATCAGAACCACATACATGCTGGTGGCTGCAGCGTCATTCAATAATCGAGGCGGGGGGAAAAGCACTTCAGTGTTTGAAAGGAAATAATTTTTCAACCTTGATATGGGTTTTCCTGTATAATCTGTCATTTCTTCCTTTAGGGATGAATATACTGTATATCAAATGATCAAATGTTATGACATCCACTCGCATAAATACATAAAAAAAAAACTACTGACCTAATATTACTTGTTCTTTTTATATCCCAACTTTGGCCATATGGGTGAGTTCTAGCTGGCTGTGATCTGAATATCTGATTATAATTTGAGGCGATTTAAGCAGATTTAGAGGCCTATGGGATTCTCCTTTTGGCTTAGTGCTTCCTGTGTGTGTGTNNTGCCTGTCTCTCTCTCTCTCTGTCCCTGTTAGGTATCTGGGTCCCTGTCTGTCTCTCTATTTCTGACCCTGATTGTCATCAGCAGCTTTTATTCTCTCAGCTTGACAATAAACTGATAATCAATCAATCAGTGTCTATATGCTGTCTGTCTGTCTGTGTGTGTGTGAGAGAGAGGGAGAGAAAGAGGAGGAGATTCCCAATGGTAATGGATTTACTGGCCTACCTTGGAGACAGTTCAGTGTGCAAACTAAAAGACACAATTAATTGTAAACAACCCAAGTCTGTCATCCTAACATGGAGGTTAATTTAGAAGATCTTAATCTACTTTTGGCTGATCAGGCCTGCATCAGTTGTTTGTGCACCACACTGCATGGACCCATGGACCCATGGTGTATAATGCATATGGCCAGGGTCTTGGCTGTCAGTCTCAGTTCAGTTGTTTGCAGCAAGCTGATGTGCACTAATTAGGCAAACATGAAAACCACTTTGCAGTCGGCGTGATCTTTATTTCCACACACACACTTGCACTCAGCTGCATTAGGCCAATTCTCATCTGTGTCAGTTACAAGGAAAGGATGGGATGCAGGGAGGAGGAAGGAAGAAAAAAAATGCTTACCAGACAACCTTCATGTGCAGTTGTGCATTAGTGGGGGGAGGAGGAGGAGGGGGGAAGAGGGCGGCTGGCGGTGCTGGGCAGAGGAGAGAGGAGCAAATGCATTGCGGAGGGAGAGGAGGAGGAGGGCCTACAGCTATTGTTCATGTCCTCCCGTGAACAAAGGGCTCATCTGGGTCCGTATGTAAACCCACAGCAGGCTTCAGCCCACTGACAAGGCCTCATGCGGGACAAAACATAACCGACCGACTCCCGCAATTTAGGCCTTATTCCCCTTCAGTCTCGCGGTTTGAGGAGATTTTTCCATTGATCCTGTTCAGAGGGACGTATTGTGTTGGTACGTTGCGTCCGGCCGACCGCCGTCCAGCGGGCCTATCCGTTTTTACGCACGGAGCGTACACACGGTCTATCATCACGGATCTGTAAACATCAATTTTCTGATTGGACTTCTTTGCAGGTAAAGGGTCGCTTTTCCCAAACACACACTTTGACTGCAGTGCCTGGCTGCTGTGGCGATTAAATGTGGTTTGCGAGCTGCCGCGGTTGTAATTTAGCGTCTTATTTCGGCGATTTCCCGTTGAAAAGGGATTTAACGCTGAGGCGTTAGCAGTGGGGCTAACAGCAGCTAACTGGTTACTGACTGCTCTGTGTCGCTATCGTTAGCTTGCCCGCAGGCCTACAGCCAGCTCTGGGTGGTCGAAAGTGTCGACGTTATTGGTCGTGTTTATTCTACGTTTATATTAAAACGAGTGCTGGGTGGCATTATGTGTTGAAGTTCACTCTCGTCCCGAAACAACCTGTGTTTAACATTTTAGCCTAGCTACCAGCTAAAGGTTAGCATTTAGCGCTGGCTGCCTTTCTAATTGCCTTTGTAAGCAGACAAATCCTGCTCTTATGTGCTTTGACTGGTGAACTTATGAGCCACACAGACGCTGGAAAGGGCATTTATATGTGGGGCTTCATAATAACAAAACTCCAGGTTCGTGTTTGTTTTTGTAAAAACTTTGCTAAAGTAGGTTAATATAAGCTGTCGCTGATATTCCGTCTGGACGGGCGACTTGTCCCCGGAGCAATCTGGAGTGGCAGGAGTCCAAAACCACTACAGGTTATTCTTATTTAGAGGAGACTGGTGACTTTAGATGGGTTTTTATCTCTGGAGTTAACGTGAAATCAGATGTTTCGACGTGGATGTTGTATTTGACACCCGTGGCTCTCAACATTTGAGCTAATATTTGCTCTGAAGGTGGCCTTACTATCACTAAATCCAGGGAGATATGTGCATGTATAGTGTGTGTGTGTATGTATATAGTGTACTGTGTCTACTTGTAAAGAGAGAGAGGAACATGACTCCCAGTGGAGGAAGTGGAGTCCAGCTGATGTGATTGTGACTGCCTGTCATTAACCACTAACAGGAGAAGAGAGGAGCTAATGGAGCTCTCAACAACTAATGGACACATAACCATCGATTATTTATTTATTTATCAACCCCATTTGTTTTCCTCTGGTGGTACATCCAGCCCATAGCATAGCAGTGCTGGCTCACACAGTAAACAAGTTGTTTTTACACAAAGTGAAGGCAGGGTTTCAGATGGAGGGGGCTGTATGGCTTTTTGTTCCACCGAGAAGTATTGTTTTGAAGTTCTGTGCTCCCCATGGAAGACCTTATTAAATTATTATTTATTTACTAGTCTATAAGATCTATATAAGGCAATGCAGCAACCCAGTAGATTAGAAACCAGTAGGCTTTTGTTTGTTTGCTGTCTGTTGTCAGCACATGTGTGTTATTGTCTTCAACCTGTATGGCTGTTGGACTCTTTTGACACTTTGATAGTGAGTCCAAAACTCTGCTTTTGTAGCTCTTTTCATAGAAGAGAGGCCATGTTGCTTTTAATTGTCTCACTGTAGATATATTTCACTGTATCACTGCTGTGTTTTCAAATTAAAACCATAAAAACCATCCTATTAATACAATGAAGGCACATTTTTCCCGTCTGTGTCTCTAGATATTATTCACACACACACACACACACGGTGTCAGACATGTTTAATATGCAGAGACAAGACAGAGGGACATTAATGAGGCGGGGCTTCACCATGGTGACGGCAGGGGTCGTGACCTAGAGGCCGCCATGCCTGGATGGCCTTTATAGGAGAGCTGGGCAATTAGAGTAGAACAAGGGTTGAGGCTGTGTGTGAGAGAGATTCATCAGTCTTGGGTTTTTTATTGTGGGTGTGAACAGACTCAGTGTTGGTTTGTTTGTGTTTGGTATTTGATGCTCATTCATGGAGGGCAGTGATTTCTGTAGGAGTGCAGCAGGAGTGCGTTGTTCACAGGAGGCTCCTTCATCGTGTTATTGCTCTGCATCTTCATGAAACACGATTGTTGTATTGAGGATGGCCTGTGAATGAGAGCAGTTAACTGAAACTCAGTTCAGGCTGCATGGGCTTCACCCTCAGTCATTCTTTGTAAAAAAAACCAAACAAACAAAAGTAAACATCAGGAATAACACTGTAATTCCCAAGGGTGTAGCAACCTTAGGTACCATCGTCTGTGTTCTCTCATTGGCATCCGCTCTTTTTTGGCTTTTAATTTAGGTCCTCTATTTACAGCTTGTACAACTTACACTAAGTTGTGCAGTGTCGATAATTACATTTGTGGGTTAATAAAACCCTTTTTTATTATCACATTTGACATATTAGTCATGTTTCATATAATTTAGGTCTCACACTAATCTGGGTTTTAATTTGCCGTCATCTGGAAGCATTAATATTTAACATTTTGAGTAACATCTGACCTGTAATATAACAACACAACATTCATCTTCTTTCTTATTCCTCCCCACCTGTCTTCCAGGCTGTTCCTCCAAGTCGTTCAAGCTGTACTCCCCCAAGGAGCCCCCCAACGGTAGCACTTTTCCCCCTTTCCACCCCGGCACAATGCTGGACAGAGACGTGGGGTAAGTTTCATGTCCGTGTGTTCTGTCTGGGTGAGGTCTTTCAATGTCTTCTACTTTGCATTCAGTGTTTGTATTGCTTTTTAGACCCAGCCTGAGTATCATGAGTTTAGTTTCCATCACAAGACGTTTGGAAACCATCCACTGATATCTATTCAGCTTGGTAGCTGGTAGTCTGCCCAAGCAGCAAACTGTAGAAAGTAGTTCAGATGATGGCAACAACAAGCAGCACTATATTGTGGATTTGAATTGCACACAGAAACTGATTTCAGTGGAGAGTTCGGTTGAAATTGGATGTTTCCAGAACAGCTGCCATTTGTTACCAGTTAGAAACAAGAAGTAAAATCCGTGTAGAGCCCAGGTGGCGTGGTGTTTGTCCATTCAGGTGCATTGGTTGGACACTCACAGTCCACTGTAATGGCATAATGTCACTTTCCAGAATCAGGTGCTAAATATAAAACATTTCATGCTTGTGTAACATACAGTATACAATACATGCTGGTAGAATCCTTTTTTAAAAACTGATTGTAGGACCGTGCCTCGGTGCAGGAGGGTTATTGCTGATATTTTACCTGTCTGCGCTCGAAATTAAAGATGCCCTGTTGTCCCAGGGCCAATAAAAATAGCACCTGGGACAAAGACTGGAACAAATCGGAGATACAAAAAAAAAAGTATCATTACAAATGAAATTATGTTTTGGCATCATAGAATATATATTGTTTTAATTGTTCGGGAAACGGTGAGATGCCACCAGCACCGGTGTTGCCAAAAATTTAGTGACTTACTCAGACCATTGGGGAAAAGGTGAAAAATAAATTCAAATATATTGTAATTCATTCACCTGTATACTACTGCGGGCAATCGCAGTCTGCGGCTGTTCTGCCAACAGTGCTGTAATCTCTCACTCTACTCTTGTGGCGTGTGGGGCACGTTTTACCGTCTCTTTACCGTCTCTTTTCTCTCCCAATCTCTGGATTAGAGTGTTCATTGGCTTACATGTAAATGGTTTGTTTGTGCTTGGAAATATGTAGTTTGTTTAATTTAGAAATATACAATGTCCCTTTAGTGAGTTTGTGGTTATAAGGCTAAATAATAATAAAATAATCTTTTTATAGTGTGTGTATAATTTACGTCGTTGTATACCAGTCAGAGAACGGTACATACATTTGCATCTGCAGTTTTTGATCAAACGGTTAGAAATAACCAAGAAACAGTAACTCAACTAAAAGAATAATGAAATCGATTGTGGCCAAGCACCTAGGGTGATTTTAATTTTTTGGTTCAGATATAAGTGCAGGAAACGAGTAACAGAACTTCCAGGTGGACCAGAGTGAGTTACTGAAACAAAGTTATTCACCTGTATATTATGTTCAGATTGGGACAATGGTTGTTAAGTCTGCGACAAAAAAGAGTGTCAGTCTTCTGTCTTTTGGTGATAGTTTAATCAAATTGCCAGTGTATTTTATTGTCTAGTGCCATTAACACCATCCATTATCCAGGCATATGTCTGCTGAGTTACAACTACTGTGAAAATTGTGTGAGGCTAATGTTAAATGCTAAAGTTGATTTGATTTGAAGGTTAGAGGGTTTACCTCCGGAGGATTGTGTGCTGTTCACAGCTTGTCTTTGCAGTAAGCAAATCAGCTACAGTTGGTGAACGTGTGTGCGTTTGTGTTTGTGTGAATCTGAGACGTGTTCTTATTTACTGTCTCCTTGTATCATCTAATTTGTGTCGTGTTTGGCTCGCGTCCCAGGATTGTAAAGGCAGACTAGCTCCTGGAGGAGGGCATATTAGCACTAGAGCTGAATGTAATAATCTCCCTGTCTCTTGTTTCTCCAGTCCAACCCCAATGTATCCTCCCACATACCTGGAACCAGGAATAGGGTAAGACTGCATTATTCCCCATTATCTCAAGCTGGTGTGAAAACAGCACTAAAAACATAAGTAAAGATAAGGTTGTGGGAAGTTGTGCTCTTATCTCTTAATAGAGATTTCGCATTTAGTCTGTGACATGGCTAAACTGGGTGTTGAAACAGCCTTAAAAGTATGGAAGCCGTGAGAACTTAAACATTAGTGCGATCAGGATACTTTTTTTTTTTTTTAGTTCACATGTATCTTTCATAAAACCAAAAGCTAACTGTATTTCTATGCTGCTCTTTTCTCCTGTTCTCTTGTGTCTTTCTATGAAGGAGGCACACACCATATGGCAACCAGACAGACTACAGAATATTTGAACTCAACAAACGGCTACAGAACTGGACAGAGGTTTGTAGGCACAATCTCTCTCTCTCACACACACA